TGTAATGTTGGACTCATGGAGCAAGAAATAGTGAAACCCTCAAAGAAAATATGCACATGTTAAATAGTATGAATTTGGTAAGAGTAATCAAAGAGAAACAATGCCATTAGGATAAAGCTATTGATTGCAGGATAGGAATCGGAAAAGGAGCAACACCATAAAAAAGGGATATTGAATACAGGAGGGGAAAGAGATAGCCATGAATGACACGGCAACTAATGCCAAGAAGTTTGAGGAGCAGAGATGTCTAAATCATTGATACAAATTATACAACACATTTCTTTTCTTTGAGTGCAAAGATCTTGTAGAGTTCCAGACATCACAAATCTCTTATTTAGTAAAGATAATTTTGAGCATACAGTAATCCAAATAGACGACCATACATTATTATTTTTTACATTCATCAGAGGTATATTTTTCTGAAAAAAAATAAAGATAGTCATATGATAATTTCATTAGTGAGAAAGATTAATCAAGCAAAGAGAGAGTACATATATAGGAATAAAGTACTGCCTATGAATTAGCATATACCTGAAAATCAATAACTCTGTGTAAATATAGAAACCATAGAAAGGAGGGAGAGAATCCAAGGTAGCATGTATCGCTTGATTGACATGGACGACGGTGGTACTACTCGACGTAAGTAGCAGTCTTCATTGTCAGAGTTGTTGTGACTAACCTCAACAATTACGGTGGGTCTTTCTCTTAGGAAAGGTCCAATTGCTTGCTGATCTGTCCCTCTGCCACGAACAGGTAGGAACTCAAGCCGAAGTTCATGGCCATATCGCCGCCCAGCACGGACCCTGGTTCGAGTTCGCCGCCTGGCGCGTATAGCGGCTCTGCGTCTTCTGCGACGCAGATGTCCTGGAGTACTGGAGCTCAGCGCCAATCCCACATCCCCCCTCGCTGCTTTGATCAGCCCCAAGGTTGAGACATGGGCCGACGGGCGTGGGTGGCTGCGCCGGCATGGCCGGTAGGCTCGTGGAGTTGGCAGCGCTCCTTGGTCTCCATCTCTTTCGTGTACCCGCGCCAATAGACTCCATGCAATAAAAAGTGACCCCTTGGCTACCAGGTAGCTGCGGATGGGGAGGATTCATTTTATAGGTAAGACGTTTCAAATCAGAATGTGCGGAGAAGCGCAATAGAATATTGATACAGGGAGTTGCTTCAGCCGTTTGTATGTGCTGATCTGCATGGGAGGAGGAGAAACGTCAAAAGAAATTAACTGACGCGATTGCATAGTTGCCGCCACTAACAATTGACCTTTGGATACATGATGATGACGTGGCTCCATGAGAAGCCAGGAAAATCCTGTAGTGGGGTTCTCCTATTTAGGTATAGTAGATTTCACTTTCATGAATCTACTCTTTCAGTGGGGATCTATTTATACCTCAGTTATACACAGCTTAGTTTGTATTGTGCAATATAAAGTTATGTCAGCTTCTGTTGTTCCTTTTTCTTGTGGAGATTTGACAATTGTGTAAATGAACAGGAAGTGATCCTCACTTGTCATTGAGAGAGAACCCGTCAATTCACATCCACGAGATGGTATTGATGTTGGAAACTGTTATGTTGTTGTGTATTGTCTTTTTTGTCACTGTTAACTAGAAAATTCTCTCTTCAGAAAACAGTGCAGTTAACTGGAATTTCAAAGATATCTGGTGCCCTGGCACTTCTACTCAAAGCTGCTGTCCAGTTCATTTTGCTGGTTTGGTTCCTTTGTTTTAAGATTCCTCGCCCTGATGTATTTGTTGTTCAGGTTAGTGTCAAGTTCCTTATTATGTGTATTCAGAGTTTCATGAACACTACACACAACCACTATCAGTTCAGATGTCATGTAAACTGGCTAGCGTTAGCATTGTATCTTTGTGCCTGGCTTAAGCTGGAGATCATGCTATGCAGTGGATATGGTGCCTTTCTGACACCTTTTCTTTCTAACTAGTCTTTGTATAGCACATTTGTGAAGCTGTCTAATCTGACATGTACATCCTTAGTTGCAGAATATGCTCCAGTCTCCTCTTTTAGTGGATTATATTGTAGTTTTGTACCACGAGTGTTTTGATTACAGTCGCCTAGAGTCCCTTTTGTTTGATGCTTACAGAAGTACCTTTTTGTTTGACATGGCCTCAATTTTCAACAACATGCTTTTTGATGTAACAGGATACCTAATTTCAGTTTTTTGTTTATCTTTTTTCCAATAGAATCCACCCTCTGTCCCAACACTGGCTGCTGTAAAACTGGCAAGCTGGCTGAGAGGTGCTAAATTTATTGTGGATTGGCATAACTTTGGATATACATTGCTGGGGTTGTCGCATGGCAGAAGTCACATTATAGTCAAAATATATTTCTGGTAATCCATTTTACCCTGATCGTTTATCTTCTGTTAAGATTAACATAGCATATATAACTTGGTGTTCCAGAATTTTGTTCCTTTACTTGAAAATATCTGTTAATATAGTAACTTGTTCTGTGTTCTATAGGTTTGAGAAGCACTTTGGTCAGATGGCTGATGGTGCCTTTTGTGTTACAAAAGCAATGCAGCATGAGCTTGCTCAAAATTGGGGAATCAGGTAGACTGATCAAACTTAAACATAGTTTTCTCCATATATATGAAGGACTGCTGTTCACATTCTCTAGTCTGCAATTCCAGGGCGACAGTTCTTTATGATCAATCTCCTGATTTTTTCCACCCTGCTTCATTGATAGAGAAACATGGGGTCAGCATCTATTTTGAGTTTTTCTTTCCTCCTTCCAGTACCACATGTGACCTGAAGACATGTAATAGTTGTTTAGCAGGCTAGGGAATTCCATCTGTAGTGCTATGGGCAATGCTGATTGCATATCAGTGGGTATGTTTTTTCTTCAGTTAACCAGAGCATTTTGATGTTTTGTGCTTATTTCACTTCAATTTATTTCTTGTTGCCTGATCATACATTGCAGAGGAAGTAGTGGAAGACATGAACACTACTGTCTTTACCAGTAAGATTGATGGTGAAGTTTACTTGAAGCCTAACAGACCCGCACTTGTTGTGAGCAGCACAAGCTGGTCTGTTCTCTTGAACCATGCGTCCATGCAGTCATTGCTATAGCCTAGAGTCTTCTTTATGTTCATTGCATGTGATTATCGAGTGGATAGTTCAAATATGAGAAAAGATATAAATCTTTACTGCATATATTTCTAGGACGCCAGATGAAGATTTCAGCATACTTCTGGAAGCAGCACTTATGTATGACAGACGCGTCGCTGCAGCTTTAGGTGAAGATGATTCAATGGATGAGGGACAACTTTGGATTGATATCAAGAACGGAAAGCAATTTGTCTACCCAAGATTACTGTTCATTATTACAGGTATAATCCATTCTGCTATATTAACTTGAATAACCAAAGTTTAAGCATTCTTTCGTTTTTCATCTATTCCAAATTTTCTAGGTAAAGGACCTGATAGGAAGAAATATGAGGATCAGATAAAAAGGTTGAAGTTGAGACGTGTTGCCTTGCGGACGATGTGGCTTGCATCAGAGGACTACCCTCTACTGCTCGGTATGCCAGCTGATTTTACGCGTGCGCGCAGACTTGTAGCACAAAACCTATCCCAGCTTGATGGTTTTCTAAGCATGAAGACTGTTTTTTTTTTAACATTGCAGGGTCAGCTGATCTAGGAGTGTCATTGCATACATCTTCATCAGGGCTGGACCTACCAATGAAGGTTACTCATATACTTGTTTTAATTAAAGGTTGCAGGATTTTTATTAGCTTATTATAACCTGAATGATTTTAGGTGGTTGATATGTTTGGATGTGGATTGCCTGTTTGTGCTGCTTCATTCTCCTGGTAGCCCAATTTCTTACTTTTTTTTATCTGCAATATTTTGCTTCGGCTAGTTTTCACTGAAGCACTAAGCTTGCTGCAGCATTGAGGAGCTTGTAAAAGTAAACAAAAATGGTCTTCTTTTCTCAACATCTTCGGAGCTTGCTGATGAACTTATGGTCAGGATCACTTGAGTATATTAGTTTCCATGTCATTTCACTGAACGATTGTTTTGACATATTTGGAATATGCATATATGACAACTTCCTTTTTTTTCTCTAAAATAAAAGGAAGGGCACGATTGCGTCGTGACTTAACATCAAAACCGATGCTAATGTTTACAGTTGCTATTTGCTAAACAATGCAGATGCTCTTTAAGGGGTTTCCAGAAGAATGCAATGCCTTGAAATCCCTCAAAGAAGGTGCCATGAAGTCAGCATCATCTTCGAAATGGTCAACAGAATGGGAAGACAATGCACTACCATTGGTGAACCAGGCAAGTGATCAAACATTTTTTTTGAACCGGGAAAACAGCAGGGGAGCCCCCCACTGTAAAATTTTTGTATTAAATAAAAAAAGGACAGAAAGCTGTACAGGAAGTTAAAAACTGTACAAACAACACAGCAGGGTCCAGCTAGCCTGAGGGGGGCAAAGTGATCAAACATTGCTTACTAAAATTGTGGTTACACTCATCATGGGCTTTACCTTTTTTTCATGTCCAAATTTGCAGGTCATTGGATGCTAACATATATCGGATAGAATTGTTCTATTCCAGAGAATCAGAGACAGGTGTGCTACAGAGAACAGATGTACATTAAAGGGTACGGATTGCTTTCACCAGCCGCTGCCAAAATCAGTTGCTAGTTGATGCCATGTGCTGATGTGCGCCACTTCAGCAAAACTTGGGCAATTTTATAGATACGAAGATCTTTCCTTTTTAGACTGGGAAACATACTCTACTGAACACATGTATAAGTTGTTTCAGGATGTATACTACTGTAGGCCAGCACTTTGTTTGATAATATGGGTCTGTATTGGAATATCTTTAGTCTGTTACACGAGAAGGAAAACATAGAAAACCATATTGTTTTCCCTGGCTTCGAAGGCCATCTGATAAGATCATATGCAGAGAGGCGTGTACCAAACAAAATTGTACAAGGAATCAGTTCTCCTTTGCTTCCATCCTGGAAGTTCAGATCTCTAACACGATGTCTGGAGAATGACAAGGATATGTCAGATGCATGGTCATATCTTATGTTTACTCGCACACACTGCTACAAATATACTCACTTACACTCTGAATCTGTTCTGATCCATTTGCCCCCTTCGTCCTCGGCTTCTACGTTATCTTTCGGGGCCATCTCGACCGCCTGATCATCCCTTGTTTCAGTATCAAAGAATGCTGGGTTTTCAGGGTGCGCCTTCTTGAGCAGCAAACCCCAGACAATCTGTCAAACAGGAAAGCCATGCGTGAGTATAACTCTGAATTCTGAACCAATTGGGTTCTGAAACCTGAATGCAACCTGAACTCTATAGCACCTCGTTAAATCTCATTTCGGGTACAGTTTCCCTCAAGCTTGGCCTGGGCCGGAAACCTCCGAAGGCTCTTGTTGCAAGTGCCCTGAACGATCTTGGCCTACCAATGCCTCCATTCCTGGAGGTGGAAGAACAGCTCAGGAGCCGCTCGAGCTGCAGGTGATTTACCCTGCTTAGTTCACCGGCTGTGGCGGCTCTTCTGGCTCCGGCGAGCGATTTCAGCTCCTCCTGCAGCTTGCTGAGCTCGTCCAGACGCCCACAGCTCTTCGTTCTGCTCTCTTCTTCCCTCATCCCGAACGTCCCGATCGACAGCATGGCCGTGGTCCAGCCGTCGTTGAGCTTGTCTGTCTGAGGAAGTCCACTGGAGGCGTCAGCAGCTGTAGCACGGGGAGTGTAAGTGTGAGTTTCAGCTATACAGACACATGAAAGAATGCTGTTTCAGGGTTTCGGCTTTCTGCTTGTCACTTACGGCGTGCCGTGCCTGCGCTGAATTCTGCAGATCTCCTTCTGCTGCGATGCGATCCATGAAGCTTGGTCTGCATCCAGTTGAGAACCTGCATCCGCAACAGCAGCAAGAGTTAAACACCTACAGTGCCATTCAGCCATAGCTAGTTCAGATGAAACAGACAACGCCTGCGTAGCGTACCCCCATGGCCACCGGTGCTCTCTTCTCTTGTGTAAGAAGCTCGGACAAATGTAGGTGGTGAGGTGAATGAATGAGCTTGATATATAGCTAGCGCATGGTCGCATGGATGATGCAAGTGTATATATAGGGGTACAACACAATACAAACTTTGGCCATGTGGTCACAACTGAAGAAAATCTGGTTGAAGACTGCATCCGCGTACACCTCAACAGAAGAAGCTCATGCATGGTCAGTGCTGTGTCCAGCAAACAGGGTGCACTTTTACAGGATCATAAGCACACGTACATTCCCGACTTTGCCTTCACTGGAAGCAAAAAAACTTGTTGCATCGAGGAAGATCTATCCCGTTTTAGGGGAAACGTTAACGCGTGGTATAGCCAAAGCACACAAAAATAAGATAAAATGGAGGGACAGATGCACCGAGAGTCGAGCAAAGAAAGATAGACCGCCTGCGTTTTCGGAACAATGGCGTGTGATAAACCTGGCCACAGGTTTCTGATGCTTGGTGCAGCCATGTTTTGTGTTACCGATGACTCACTGGAGGTCTCTCTCTCCACAAGTGTGTCCTCCTCCTGTCCAGATCATCGTCGTAGGAAAGTAAGCAGGGAGGTGAGGTCAGCATGGCTCACTCTCAAGCTGGGAGAGTTGTAGATTCATTCTGCCATTGCACATTGATTGTGGTGGCTGAATTTGAAGTATAAAATCGCCAAGTTCTTGCTCGTATATAAATACCGATTAAAAACAAACGATGCAATGTCTCAACAGGCACCGACAAATTTCAGTCCTCGCATAACATAGGGGTCATGTACGTGAGCGTTTGCGTTTGTAACTGAATCTCGCAAAAAAAAAAGTGAAGTGCAAATAGAGTTGGTGCTGATTAGCATATAAAAATAAAAAAATCAAAATATGAAACTTGTGCATCTGTGGGCACCTGTGGGCTCGCTGGTGATCCATCGATTGACGGCCCAATTCCGAGTCGAGCGGGCTCGTGTGATGGGGCCCACGCTGTCAAAACCGGGTCGGGCCCGGGCTCGAACGGGCTATCTTCTCTTCTTCTTGCGGAATAAGAAGAGGAAGTCGCGGCGGCGTGTATAGGGTTGTGCCCGAGGTCCCCCAAGCGCACAGCACACACAAACACACCCTCGCACCACGCCCAGCTCCGGCGAGATCTTCCGGCAGCCGGCGACATGAGCCGCGGCACGGGCGCGGGGTATGACCGCCACATCACCATCTTCTCCCCTGAGGGACGCCTGTACCAAGTCGGTGAGTGCCTCCCCCAAAACCCTAGCCTTTTTTTTTCCCTCCCCCTCGTCGCTCCTTAGATCTGGGGCGGACTTGTAGTCCATCTGACCTGTGCCGTTCCGTGTGCGCAGAGTACGCGTTCAAGGCGGTGAAGTCGGCGGGTGTCACGTCGATCGGCGTCCGCGGCGCGGACTCCGTCTGCGTCGTCACTCAGAAGAAAGTGCCGGTGAGTTGATCGGCGACGGTCGCCTCCATCGATCGGGGCTGCGCGACTGACCCTTTTTGTTGCGCTACCCCGATGCGGGGTGATGCACTGAAAAAGATTGTAGCTTTCTGTGTGTTATTGGTTGGATTGGCTGTTTTGTGTGGCCTGACCTTAACGTGTTGTCCGTGCAGGATAAGTTGCTGGATCAGACGAGCGTGACACACCTGTTCCCGATCACTAAGTTTGTCGGATTGCTTGCCACTGGCCTTACAGGTATTGTGTTATTTTGCTTTGGCGCACATCATTATTTAGTCAGTAGTGATATTATGGTATGGAGCTTGTTGTAGATACCGTAGGCTATGAAAACTTGGCCCCGTTTTGTTGAATTGTGGGTTCTAGATATCAATTTTGTGATAGATCAGTGGAAATTGATTAATCATATTGCTGGCACTAAATAGAATAGGACAACATAAGTTGGGATTTATAGTGGAAGTTTTGCCCATCATTGATTTTTGTTTGATTGAATTAAGCTGTATCTCTGGTGGCTTATTGTCAAAGTCTCAAGTATATAGAGCTTCATTCAACATGAATCATCATACGTTGAACCTTTAACAAAGGAGTTCAAGGCTTTTCAGTTTCATAATAGGATACTGCTAGTTTCAGATTTTGGACAAGAGTTTTGTGTTATGATTTCGTAATATTCAGTCACGTGCTAATAACAACGGATGTCATGCCACTTTTGTTTATTCTTCCCCAAGGGATATGACAATAAGTAGTGCCCTTCCTTGAAATCTCAATTGGTCTGTTACTGTGTATTTACCCTTGAGGATGCCCATTAATTCACGTTGGGCACTGGTTACCACCTTGCTTTCACATATTGCACTATTTAATTACGCAATAATACATCTTGATCTTTACCAGTAATGGATATGTTGTTATATTATTCACAGCTGATGCAAGGTCATTGGTTTCCCAAGCAAGGAACGAAGCAGCTGAGTTTCGTTTCAAATGGGGCTACGAGATGCCAGTTGATGTGTTAACAAAATGGTATTGAGCATTTTGTTGTTCAGGCTCCCAATTTGTTAATGGTGCTTTGTGCATACTAAGTAGTAACAAGCATATATATACATTACATATCTTATTTATGTTTCAGGATTGCTGACAAAGCTCAAGTTTACACACAGCATGCATACATGAGACCCCTTGGAGTAGGTTAGTATCATCGCACAATACGCATTTGCTATTCCATTAAGCTTCTGTCATTCTACTATGATGTTCTAGCGTTAAGTTAGCTTATGGCTTATTGCCATCATTTTCATCTTCTTTGCTGGCATTCTTCAGTTGCTATGGTCTTGGGCTACGACGAAGAGAAAAATGCCCAACTATTCAAATGCGACCCTGCTGGTCACTTCTTTGGACATAAGGTATATGCCTGTTTTGTTATGCTCCAGACGCCACCTTTCTCCTTGATGAATTTCTGCTGAATGTCTAGTTTGTCTGTCTCTGCTGAATACTCCTATTTGTTAAGAATTAAATAATTTACTGATATTTTATTTCAGGCAACTAGTGCCGGGCTCAAGGAGCAGGAAGCAATAAATTTTCTGGAGAAGAAAATGAAGGATGATCCGAAATTCACCTATGACGAAACTGTTCAGGTAAATGTTGCATGGCTTTTGCTTCAAACAGGCACAAAGCTCTAATTGCTCACGATATTATACTGCTGCGCCAAGCTAGTAATCGAAAAAGCTTATGTGTTTTCTCAATATGGTCAGAGTAATGTAGCCGTGCCATAGTTTCTGCAGCTACATTCACTTCTCATCAATTATTAAATACCCCCTCCATTCCAAATTATAAGATGTTTTGACATTTCTAGATACATAGTTAAACTATGCACTTAGATATACACTAAAAGCAATGTACCAAGAAAAGTCAAAACATAGTTTAACTCTGTATCTAGAAAAGTCAAAACATCTTATAATTTGAAATGAGTATGTAGAAGTTGAGGTATTTACTAACTTCTGCCCAATGTTTTCAGATTGCAATATCTGCATTGCAATCAGTTCTCCAGGAAGATTTCAAGGCCACTGAGATCGAGGTTGGTGTTGTGAGAAAAGAAGACCGTGTTTTCAGAGCTCTCACAACAGAGGAGATCGATCAGCACCTGACGGCAATTAGTGAACGGGACTGAGGTCATATGTTCATGTCAGCGCTCCACACTGGGCCGTGCCATTGTGCTTCGGCACTCTCATTTAGTTTCATAGTCATCAAAGGAACTGAGTGTACCATTTCATGTCTAACACTGAAAACAAGCCCCCCTCGATGTACTCGTTTCATATCTTTCTGTGGTTGATTGACGTTTTGGTTTTGCGTTGCTAACAATATTTGCATGGCTGAGCGATTGGTAGTTCATGTCGCCAATAATTCTAACCGTTATATAACGGTGTTTGAGTTGTCTGATACCTTAACCATCCAATCCTCCGGAAGTCATTTTCCTGTAAATACAGCCTATAAGATTTAGTTCCACCTCCATACTTGAGAATTTGAGATTGGGAGCAAGCATAACGGCATTACGCACAATTTGAATCCACCAGCAGCAAAGGTTGTGCACAATTTGAATCAACCAGCAGCAAAGGTTGTGAATAACTTATCCATCCACCAGGCATTACGCACAATTTGAATCCACCAGCAGCGAAGAAACTATATGCATCCACCAGCACCAAAGATTATGAACGAGAATATGATTGTGAAGATGCTATCCCCTTATGCATCCACCAGCACCAAAGACTGAACGAGAATATTCCCTAACTCCGCAAATGCTAACATGTATACATTTGCTGACAAAAAGCCTGATATATGAATGTTACATGAGCTATCTTAACGCTTCTATCCTGCTAGCCATCTCTGCCATATACAAAAGTACAAGTCAACTTTTTTTTTCTCTTTTCATCTGATCCAGTTGCGAACAACAGCTAGGCCGGTTCCATCGCTAGAGCAGGACGCGGAAGAGGCCTGGTTGCACCTGGGTGTACTGAAGGCCATGTTCCATGAGGTACTGCTCGACGGTGGCAGTCAGCCTTGCTGGGGTGCGGGCGCTTGATATTATCATAGCCTGGAGTCGGCGACCAGTGGATCTCACGATCTTTCTTCGGTTGTTGAGCTCGTAGTTCAGGACGTGTATCGCCTCGCTGACATGAAGACCACAGAGATCGATTGGGGGATTTTGCTCCTGGATGAGGCCTTGCAACTCTGGCATTTGGAATCTGTTAGGAACAGACAATGTATTAGCTTTCGTGCAGTACTAACATCTCATGTGGATAAATGAAATCATGTTGCAGGGCCTTCGGCTTTCCTCCCATCACAAATTTTAAGTCAACATAGGTTGTCCTAAGTCAAAAAAAAAAGTCTTTGTATATGTATTAGCATTACGACATCCATATTTAAAGAACTTTTATAACAAATAGCTTTTTCATTTAAGATAATGTATTTTTATTAATATATTGTAAGTCAAAGTGTCGTATTAGAGACCGTGTCCATGTTCCTAACGAACTTATATTTGTGATCAGGGGAAGTAGCAGTTACCACGGTTGGACCCTCATAGAACATGACAACTGCTGATCACTATGGTCTACAAGAAAATCACAATTCAATAGACACGTCTGACTTGGCCAGTGTGCTAACAACCTCCTAACATGAAAGCTGCAATACCATCCACACATTCTTGCAAATTATGCTGAATATGAAAACTATATATGACAACCATCATCGTCCTATTGTGTATTATCATTGGAATTGAAAAATAAACACAACAAAATGGTTCGCAACCAAATAGATACCATTTACACTACAAAATCTTTGTATCAAACTATCGATCACTGGCTACTGGGACTGAGTTACATGCTCATTTGCCACCAATTAAGCCCAATTCAGTATTTGGACGCCCAAAGAAAAAAGCATTATAAAGCCATAGTTAGTGTTCCAACTTCCAAGCAGAAATAGCACCTAATTGGAAGCCATACCATATATTTATCATATACTCCCTCCGTTCCAAATTATAAGTCGTTTTGACTTTTTTGGTACATCTATTTTGCTATGCATCTAGATATAATATATGTCTAGATACATAGCAAAATGGATGTACCAAAAAAGTCAAAGCGACTTATAATTTGGAACGAATGAAGTATATGGCATCAAGGAAGATTTATATCTGACCTTTGTCGATATGTTGTTTCTCTAGCCTTCTCCTGAACCAACCTGGTTTGTATACTGTATAGCTCCTTCAATGTTAGATCCTTTGTTAAAGGGTTGTTTCCCATCAGAAAAGCCTGTCTATCCTGCTAAAATTTTAGGCATATAGAAAACAGTTCTAAATGATTGGATAAACAATGCTCATAACTGAGGACATACTTTTAGAAGCACGCTATAGATTGTGAAAAAATATAATCAAAACCACTGAATTAATAATATACTAAGCTAGGTGGTATCTGAGAATTATTCTTCCATCACCATAAAAAAAGAGAAAACTCCTTATCCGCCATCGGAAGATGACTTGGTGCTCTATTTGCCACTGAATAATTTTTGGTTCCTTATCCGTCATCCAGTTTAACTTCTATTCCTTATATGCCACTTCTGTTGCTTTCTGTCAGTTTACGTCAAAATGTATCTCCTTTGAGACCTTACAAATTTGAGTGTTTGTATGATTTGACCAGAATGCCCCCATGGGACTACCTATCCACAAGACGGCAACCTGCACTGCCGTCATAATCTCACACCGCCCGTTGCCCTGTCCCCAGCCAGTCTGCACTGACCATGCCGCCCGTCCCCAGCCTGTCTGCACTGGCCGCACCGCTCGTCCCCAGCCAATTCTCACCACCCACGCCCCTCCCCAAGTGACGGAGCTCCCCCTCAGGATGTCGCAGATCTAGTCCAGGCCGACGCTGTCCGCAGCCGATGCCGACAGCTCCCCACCAAGCTGGCGCCATCCGCATACCGCATCTGTTCCATACCGAGGACCCCCTCCATGCCGCCGGTGCAGGTGAGACCTGGATCGCAGATCTAGTCCAGGCCGACGCTGTCCGCAGCCGATGCCGGCAGCTCCCCTCCAAGCTGGCGCCGTCCGCATGCCGCATCTGGTCCATACCGAGGACCCTCTCCATGCCGCCGGTGCAGGTGAGACCCGGATTCCCTCTCTCTCTCCCCCCTTGGATCTGAAAGACCTAGTAAATTTCCTTCTTTGAGAATAGTTTGGGCTCCAGTCAGTTTCTTGTTTTATAATAATAGGTTGGTCGAAAATGCATTCTTGGTTGAGAATATAACATGTTGGAGATGAACAATTATTCAGACTGAGTTGTTTGAGCATGAAAAAGTCATTTTCTTAACGGCACGGAACAAATACCATTTACTTATTAAGAAGTATGCTTGGTCTGGACAAATGCTTTGATACCTATACTTGTGAAGCTATCTATTTTTGCACCGAACATTGCTTGTACTGATGTATGCACTTCATTAAAAATGATGTGAGAGACCACATTTTAGCTTCTGTGCATGGCATCATACAAAGTCCAAAATAGCCATATATTTACATTATCAGTGGTAAGGAAGGAAACCAGGACAAATTTTACTACATGATGTACACAGGGAAGTGGCAAAAGTGTCTATTCCAGTACCACTTAACAGCAATTAACTGAGAAATTGATGGACGTAGCGGATAAGGAATGAAAGCTAGAGTGGATGGCCGATAACCTAAAACCTTTTAGCTACAAATAAGGCACAAGTTATCTTCCGATGGCAAATAAGGGATGCTGTCTAAAAAAATTAGATATAAATGTGAACCATACCAAATCAGTCCAAAATTGTAGCTACAGATCACAATGCCAATTATGTTTATATTGTCTAACATACAATCGAAGGTGATCACAATTGTAATGATAAAAGATGAGCAACACTGTCGGTTGATCTGTTCTATTTACCACAAACCATTAGTCAACTCTAGTTCTCCTGTAATTCATAATGTTACTATGTCGCAACAAATATCACTGTTTTCAGCAGTAGAACTATTTTCTAGTGGATCCTTGGAATTGAATTCATTTTAATAATCATAATTTAGACACAAATTAATTAAGCTAATATGGTTGTATATGGAATATATTTATATATTATTGTGGGCCATACAAGAGATACTTATGCATTGCATTTGTACCGGAGGGGAGCGAGTTGAAGAGCGTGTTATAAGTTGCAAAGTAGAAACATCTATAGAATCAATTTCCATCTCCCACCCTATGAATTTGAGCTAGGCTTATATGTGAACTTTGGAAAGTAGAAAGTCGTGGAATGTCAAATTCCAAGCCAAATAGCCTTGTCTATTAAGTAGATTCCAATTCCCCCAAAATGAAAGGATCCAAACGGCCCATAACAGAAAAGGGGCTGATCATAATTGAACTGAGAGTGAGAATTTGTGATATCAAAGCAATTAAAAGTTAATGTTAAACAGAATGTGGATCAACTACCAGCCTCAATTATCTGCAAAATTTAAAATGCCTGCTCCTATTGACATAGGATGATTGCATTCACTTACAGTTACAGAGCAGTGATACTAAAAACAGCACATACAATATTTTTGCTTGAAATGTTTGAATAGTTCAGTATCTCACAGTGGTTTATCTACCTGTTCAAGAACTGCATGTCGCAAGCTTGCAAAATCATGAACTTCATCCTTTGATTCCAAATAAGCGCTTGCTGTCATCACAAACAAGTTCAAACCATAAGGAAATATGCATGCCACGCAGATTTACTAGCATATCATAAAAAGTATATTGTAATTCAAGAGCACTACCCGCAGCATCACTTTCAAGCCAAGCTGGTCCTGTCTGAATTCCAGCCATGTTTTGTAGGGTATTGGTTGAGATCATGTCATGATTTCCATTATATGAGCCACCCAACAGCTGAGAACCTCTGCTTGAACCAAGACCAGGAACAGGCAAACTAGTCATCTTGTACCTTCCTCTAGGAACATCGAGGGATATATGTTCACGTCCAGCTGAAGGTGAAACAATATCATCTGCGAGTATAGCTGAATGAGATCTATATGGACTGTTTGGCAGACCAAAAGATTCATTACTATAGTTTCCAAGACCATTTTGGGGAAATGATGCTGGTGATGGAGGACTTGAATTTCCAAATGACAGTGACCTGAGGTTCTGACTGAGTCGTCCATGACCTTTACTCTGTTATTAGGCATACAACAATACTTAGCAAATATATGTAGAAGAATTCATGCAATAAACAAATACAATAGCCATTTCCATGAAGCATGCTCAAAAGTAAAATAAAATCTTGTGCAAGCACGGCGCATGCAATTTTGTTAGCAGAAGGAAGATTTGTTTCATTATTGCTCAAAAGTAGAATAAAATCAGAGGCTATGGAGTCGCAGTGAATAGATTGACCTGGAGTGAAGGGGGGGGGGAGGGGAGTTCAGCGCTTTCGAGAGGATAAGCAATTTCCTACATTTAATAAGCTACTAGTACACTATGCCCGAACATAGATCCGACAGTATGAATGTATGTACAATCAATCTGCACTAAAATAAGCCAGTTTACGGTGTTCTTGGAAATTTAAAATAAAAAAGTCATAATTTAAGCAATGCTTTGAATTTCAGAACCAATCATCCAATATAGAACTGGATAGTGAGACTGATACATTAGGTGCACAGTAGCTTCTCTTTAAGCTGATCTTTCGCATAGATTGTTAAGTTATAAGTTGTCAGCGGCATGACAGTTTCAGGGCAGTAGGTGTGCAACTTTTGAAAAGAGTATTTGATACAAACAGCATAGTGGATACCAAGAAACATGGCCACATGGGACAAAACAACTTTAGACGAATAGCATAGTTTACTTCCTCCGTTCCAAATTATAAGTCGCTTTGACTTTTTTGGTTCATTCATTTTGCTATGTATCTAGACATACTAGTATATCTAGATGCATAGCAAAATGGATATACCAAAAAAGTCAAAGCGACTTATAATTTAGAACGGAGGGAGTATAAATTAGGACACTGAGGACAGACCTCCAGCTGACTCATGATATCCATAGTCGAGCTTAAGCTGCGCCTGCTTCCATGATACACATCAGTAAGGTTGTGCAATGAAGCTCCTGAAATTTTAAGGAAAAATCTTAGGCCTAAAGGACCACACCCTCATGAAAGAAAAAAATTACAAACCATCACCATACCAATGCTAGAATCTCCATTGTAGTGACTGGCATCCCTTCTGCTTGTGTTATAATGTCCCCCATTCCTCATAGTCTTCACCCATGGAGCAGCATTTGGACTCATGGAACCTGCAGTTGGACTCAAAATTGTGGCTTGGGACCGTTCATCCATATAAGTTGGGCCAGACAAGTTAATCTTTGGGCGTGTACTCAGTTTGTCCCTGATAAAAGGCGAAGCACGGTGCTGCATGCTCAGTGTCTGGTTTGGAGAAAATATTGATGTGTCAATGCCATCATTTATGGACAGGCCTGTGAGTGATAGACTTTCAGGTCCAGTACTTTCATCTTGTCCCAGGACATTGAAATCAGGGGTAATGTCGTCAGGGAGCTGTTGCTGCCAGTACTGATGTGCTTCTTCATCAGAGTTACTTCGTAAAATGGACTCTGGCTTGTCTGTGCTGGATTCTTTAGATGGCCCTGAGACAACCATAGTTGCATCTGATCTCTTGGAGGAATCATTGACAGATCTAAGGGATGAAGGAACAAATTCCTCTGCATTTGGATTTAGCGCAGTGCTCTTGCTTATCATACTTATCTTCCTCTCTTCTATGGACATTGCTGACGGACAGATGTACCTCTTCTCAAGAATGGTAAGATTGCTACAAAGAGTATGACACACGAAGGAGTACGAGTCTTCTAGAGTGATTGTTCGCCGTGCCTATTAGACATAATTGGGCATGGTAGTAAAAGTTAGATTTCTGCAAATAGAAACTTAACAGAAGCACAGACCGCTCCTAATTCCTAAGAATGAAGCAACTGGCCTTGATCATGATACATTTAAGCGGAACTAACTTAGAAAAATAACGACAAAGAAAACTCAAAATCACTGACTCTCACGGCCGTGCTACCACAGATACTACATACTTCAACACGGCTAAACAATCAGGTCAAAAGGAAATTACAGCAAGATAATGTCATAAATCCAAATCACTAAGAAGAAATTGGGGACGGTATGGATGAAAAAGGTCTCATGTCAAATAGAAATTGGCTTTATGCTGAAAGTGGGAAAAACGTAACCTAAAGATTCAGATTTATGCAGAAGAAATGGACAAAAGACACCAAACATGCACGTAGCGGAACTATGGTACTGAGCTGAACATCCCTAAGACCCTAATCACTCCTGGATTGGATTTCAAACTAGAGCAAGCACAGTGTCATTCATATTTCACACTTGAACAAAAGTAGAAGACTAAGAACTCCTATTGCTTGGGGGATCCAATTATGAGCAAATGACTTTTATTGTAGCATTGGTACATCAGATATCTAGAGAACACAATCAAAAGGCTGTTGTATTCCAGCATAAAGTATTTAAAATGTAATATTCTGATCCCAAAACAACTCCATGATAGAAGAAAACATGTGCCGCTAAATTCCTCATTGTTCTTTGTTGACCAAGCAGATGGATTCTACAATCATCACCGGGCACCGGATAATAATAATTGAAGTATATGCTCACCAGTACCTGTTCTAAAAGTATTTGACACCAGCTACTGCACCATTAACCATCCATAAGCAAAAAAAACATGGCGAATTGGAAATTTGGAAGAAGACAGAGCATTCAAAACCAGCATCTTTACTATATTACTATAAAAAAGCAAGCTCAGGTGCGACCCAACAGTAACACGCCCCTCAGGAAGCAGGGACGGGCTTCACTTGAGCCCCGAAATTTTGGAAAACAAGCTGCACCAACACCTTGATTAGGTAACAAGAAAGCAAGAATTCGTACACTGTCAACTCATGTCGATCTTGCCCGTTTTCAAGAAGAACAAGAATCTAGACAGACCACGGATTGATGTGTTGGATTAGCAGGACATCCGGCAGCACACAAATCTACAACCAACTGAACGAAGCAGAAGAAGTATTTTAGGGTTCGATTGCCAACAAAGCCCTTTGGACTAGGGAATCCAAGCATCCAAGCAAGCTCGGATATGATTGCTTACCAAAACGAAGGCGAGACTACCGCGCCCGGATGGATCTCTACCCCGCTAGACCGAGAGAGGACTGAGAAGCGGCGGGCTGAGGACAGGCGGGGGAGGGAGGGACCGGCGGCGATGCGCTCGGTGGCGTCGCGTATAGCGGCGTGTGCGTGGAGTGAGTGCGGAGGCGGATTGCAGCCACACGTTGACACTTCACCTGTTGCCTTCGCCCTACGCCCACATTGATTTTATGTGGCACCTCTTTCTTTCGACGCTTTTACTTGTGTGCCATCGTAAAAATCAGTAATTACCATAAGTTATTAAAAAAGTTGAGTTTTTATAGGTGTCACTGCTCTAAATTTTTTTATGCTCCACGTCACTTTCGTCAGATTTGACTCTAACAGTGCCAAACTGCGGGTGTAAAAAGTCAAAAATACCCTCAGGTCTAAACGTGTAATTAATTTTTTTAGTATCTTAACCATCTCAAATTAAAAAACTCAAAACTAGAAAGTTATAGATCTCGTCAAGATATATAATATTTATATAAAAATATCTTCAATTGATTCCGCACAAAAAATATGATTTTTCTAAGACATATTAATCATATCAAATCATATCTTTTTTTGTACGGAATTAAATAAAATTGATTTTTATACAAAAAATTGTAGATATTGTTGAGGTCTACAACTTTCTAGATTTGAGCTTTTTCATTTGAGCTCATTAAGATGCTCAAAAAATGAATTGCATATTCAGACCTGAGGGTATTTTTGACCTTTCATACCCATGGTTTGACACCGTTAGAGCCAGATCTGGCGGAAGTGGCGTGAAGGGCAAAAGAATTCACAGCAGTGGCACCTGTGAGAACTCAACTTTTTTAATGACTTGTGTGTAATTACTCACTTTTATAATGGCACACGGGTAAAAGTCTCCTTTCTTTCCTACTCCAACCTTGTAATCATGGTGCGGTACGCAAATGCGGCTACTCCTCCGTTCCAATTTTTACTTGATCGAGTGTTTTTAGTTTGATTTTTTCTAATTTTATTGCATAAGTTTATAGACAAAAAATGCATCAAGATCTATAACAACTTCACTTATTATTAAATTAGTCTTAAAATATATATCTTAATAGTGTATTTATTTGGTGTTATGGATGTTAATATATTCTTCAATTTATTTTATCAAAGTTAGCAAAGGTTTACCTATGAAAAAAAATAAAAGACCTACCATTTAGAACAAAGAGTACTAGATGGCATTTGTTGTTTATAGTTATCACTCTAATGTTAGACACAGGGGCGGATCTAGCACCAGGTAGGGATGAGCTCGAGCCCACGCTACTCATACTCGGAGCACGAAGCCCATTCTACAAATTCGCTCCTATAAAAGCTTTAAAGCAGAACTTTAGAGATGGAATAATAAAAGAAGTCTCTCCTACAAATTTGTTCCTATAAAAATTTTAAAGAGAAACTAGTGATGGAAGAGAATGAAAGAAATTCCTCTTGACTTGTTTTTCTAGATTTACCACTAGCACCAGCTATAATAGAGTATACACAATACCGCATTAGCATTAAAAAGGTTAGCACACTACATTTTAGCAGCTAAAGTTTTTCAAGCTGCTATAATGATTGGAATACCTGCATAGCGGCTGCTATTCGGGTCCTAATAGCAGTTCATTATTGGCATATCGTTAATATCTATTTCTTTATTTTAAATTATCATCTTATTATAATATTGCATATATGTTTTGTCATCTTATCATATTGTACGAGTTATGCTCCTAAAATCTAACTATTTTGCAACCAAATTGGCACCACATGCCATCTTATAGAGAAAAATAGAATCATAAGAATATGATGTTAACATATGTCCTTAAATTTAAATTTTATCACGATGTATATGGAATGACCTTTTCTAAATGTGATGTCTTACCCTACTCATGTTTGCCAGGATCTCAATATGTACTGGGATTTTGTGGCCTTATAGAGCTGATATCACATGAATCAATATACACACTTTTGTAAAATCATAATATGTCGAGGATAGAAAAATGATACTATTGGTGGGATCGTATCAATAACATTTCGAACACCTAAACCGTGTCAAAGATATGATTAGTTTGGATTTCATTGGTCAATTTGATTTTTTATTACTCTTTTACATGTCCTATGTTAAATAATGTTCATAATTTGTGTATGAGACCTTTTAAATGGTTGATCATGATTACATAATGTCACTAATCTTCCTCACAAAAAAATAATAACGCTATGCCTATATGGATGGGCCAAGGTTGAATTTAACTAATACCTCACGCAGCTCATCTCTTTTAGCCCATCCAAATAGGTCTTATGAATTTGTGGTGCTAAGAAAAAGACAAATGACTCTAACCCCGGAAATTTTGCCTTTAGGGCCATGTCTATTTGATTTTAGATTCTTTTAGTTAATTATGTATATATATTGTCGAATCTAATCAAAATATTTTGAATGAAATATAAGTGTGTGTGTGTGTGTTTTGGCACGACAAATGGAGGAAGGAGAGAGAGTGTGTTTTCTTTTGATTTGCTTTGTTTGTATCGTGAAGACAGCCGCGGGCCCACCTCGTGACCGTGTCCGTGTGGCCACGGACCCGGGACCACCTCGGGGGGTTGTTGAAGGCTTCAAGCTATAGGAATAGGAACTGGCACGTGGGGCCCACTGGAAGTGGTGCCGGGGCCGCGAGATGCGTTGCACTACTTTTTATCTCCTTGTTCCGTGGGCCGAATCATCCACACCCGATCCTGCTGCACCTTTGTAATTGTACCCCGAATGAAAATCTGATTCTTCGTTGCAAGCCATTTTATGGTCCTCGGTACAACTGTGACTGTTCATTAAAGACAGTGCAAACAACAACAGAAACAGAGGTAGTGTATACTAGAATATTAGAAGTGTACGGTTTGTGACTTTGTGCCCTTCCATCTGATGGCTTCTTTTTATTCCAAAATATATATTGCCTTGCTTACATTTATTGGATACACATAATGACATAAATAAATAAAAAAAATCGGGACATATGCGTGTTGCTTCTGCTCAAGAGATGATCGGGCAGTTTTGTTTAATTATACAGTGACAGTACCGCTAGCATAATCGAGCTATCACACCCGTCCTTAATAAATCGCACACACTCAAAGGTACTATTCTTTTGTATGTGGACCCACGAGGAAAACGTCGATCACCTCTCTGTTGACTGTTGATGCCTTATTTCTTTGTGCTGCTATTATTTTTCGACACAGAACTGAAAGTGTTTGTTTATTCAACGCCCTTAGTTTACTTTGGCTCAAACCTCAAATTTGTCATAGCTACTGCTCTCCAATTTATAGATTATAGGCCATTTTAGTTTTACCCTATATCCTATATGAAACTTCTTTAATTTTAATTAAAAGACTTGTTTGGATGATATACAATCAACAATCAGTAAGGTTCTATTTGAATCTCAACTAATAAATCAGAACCAGCTAATGTCTTACCTACCACCCAACTAACAATTACTAGCTATTAACTAGTTTTGCCAACTAACACATCTAATAGTTAGCTAGGTGGTTTCGTGCGGGATCTACGCTTATAGAAAATGCAATAACATCTAAAACATTAAATTGGTTTCATTAGTTCT